AATGTGTTTAAAAAATAAAAATATGAGCTAAAACTAACAATTGATGTGTTGGAGAAAGTCCTGAAACCCAGATCCGTACATGGAAAATGTGTTTACACATTTTACCAAAAGAAGGTGAAAATTACTACACATCCAGGTTTCTATGGGAGGGTGGGGCTGTGAGTTAGCAACAGGTGAGGGTCAGAGGTCAACAGGAAGGGCATTGTTCGGGAGCTGCTTCATTCAGGGAGTTTAAGAAGGACTTTGTGCACAGCCACAGCAGGAAGCCTAATGCTGACTACCTTAAAAATGCTGCTACACATGAAACATCTGGAGCCTCGTTCTGATGGCCAGATTCAGGAATTCTGAGAAAAGAAACTAGTCTGGAGTCCTGTGACAATATGAACAAATCCCCCGGTGCAACCGGTCAATGTTGGTCTTCATCTGTGGGCTAATTATAGACTATAAATCCAAAAGGGTAAAGAGAGCTGATGGGAAAGTTCTGTTAGATAAAAAACTCCCCAATATCAACAACCCAAATTCAAAAAAGTCTAACGCACTAAGACTCTTTTAAGACTTGTTCCCCCCAAATCAAGACCAACTAGTCCTAAGCTTGGGATACTTTTCCTAAGTTGAGAACAACAAGTCCGACAGAAGAAGCAGTTGCTGCAGCATCTTGGGCCCTTTTGGCTTCTAAGTCATGTCACTAATTAAGAGAAACAGGAGTCCAACAATCTAAATTCAAAACCTGTCCAAAATCGCCAACAGTCCCAAACCTATGGCCACATCAAGACCAGCAAGGCCAAGTCAAGAAGAAGAGCAAGACACAATAATGGTAAATGTTGATTCAATTTTTGTTGTTGAACTTAAAGTGGTTTATTGACCATGATCCCTAACCCAAGGGCCAACAATCCAAAAGTAAGACAGGTAAGTCCCAGTTAAGACCCCTCAAACATGCGCCTCACGCCAGGATGAACAAGTCTCGCGTTAGCCTGACATCTTCTGACCAAGTTTTAAAAAAAAAAAAAATTAGTACTAACAGATACTGGAACATGTTGGTACCCAGAGAGGACATAAAATTAAGGGTTTACTTGAATCCCATTAAGTATCTTAATTTTGTCATGAGTCATGGAGGACCTCCTGTTGAATACTACATGAGTCCTCCATCTCATGCAGTTTCCTTAAATCTGGCCAACAGAATGAAGCTGCATTTACATGAACACGATACCTTTAATGAGTGTGGTAACAGAATCAGAAGATCAAAGGAGGCTCAGAAGAAAACCTGCAGGTGGGAAACAGACACCAGAACACCAGACCTCGCCAGAGTTTGGCGACAGAAAGCTTAAAGACAGAAAAGATCGTGAAGAGGCCTCCAGCTTCCTGACACAAACACATGGCAGCAAACAGATTATAGAGATTAAAATCTCTGACCCCTCAGATTATCTGACAACGTCAAGATCAGGATCATAAGTGCTGCTGTTGTCTACAAATAATACACTTCCCTTAAAAGAAGTTTAGATTTTATTACAGGAAGTGATCTGATTTGTATTCCAGCACGAAACGTTTTAATAATAATAATAATAATAATAATAATAATAATAATAATAATAATAATACACCTCAGCAAGCCTCATCTGTCTGTTAACACCACCAGCCTGTTGGCTCCCTCTGGTGGTCAAACTCAGCGACTTAACCCTCTTTCATTTTCACTAAATTCAGTAATCAGTTAAATCGGCGCTGACATGTCAGATACTCAGATTTTGTTTTGTCCCCGTTTCCTGCTGCACGTGTTTGTCTGATGAACCAATCAGCTGTCAGGAAGCTTGGCCTCAACTAACAACACGATCTGATAAAATGCAGTAATAAAACCACACTGACAGACACTAAAGTGAACAATAACACGATTTCACCATCAAAGATTCATTTGTGAAAACGAATCTGTCCTAATACAGAACGTTTGCGTCAATGATCCTTTAATCTAAGAACATAATCATGATGAGGATGTCCCTAAGGAAGCTGTTTAAACTCAATAAAGGCAGGAAGTACAGGTCAAAATTAATTTTTAGATTATTTGAAACTTAAAGTTGTAGTTTGTCAGTTTTATTCTTTTAATATTCAAACTTTATTCGTTAAATATTGTGGCTTCATGGGATGCATGGGACTGACTCTTCTGTAAAGTATTATGGATGTATAATACAGTTATTATTGTAATGCAATCTTAAGCTATTTGCAGTTCATCTCCTTTAGTCCTTAAAGAAAAAGTTAAAGCCTTTTAATAAAATGTGTAAAGTCTAATTATTATTCTTCAAAAAGCTGAAATAAAAATCACAAAATATTCAGTGAAAAATCCAAAAGGTGATGTTTAAAAAAAATAAAAAATAAAAAAATAAAAATTACCCAGACTTTTTAAATAGTCAAAAAAAAGTTGGTTTTGTTTTTAAAAAAAATCTTATCCTGAACGTGAAATTAAAATAAATACATCAATTAAATGTATGAACTCATTAGTGAAATATAAAGATTATGAAACCTAAGACCATTTTAACTTCAGCGTTTAAATTATGCTTCCTGTTTTATAAGAATATATCCTACATTATGACTGCCTCATTCTCTAAATACACAAACTTTACTCTGAAAATAAACAAAAAACGATTGAAAATAATTAAAATGTTTTTGCTGTTCTTGAAGATTTGAAGTATGAGGTTTGATTACTGTAGTTTTATTTCTAAAATATTCTTTTTTGTCTTCTTTTACTTTAATCAAACCACACCTTTATTTTGAAATATTGCACACATTTCCTCAGAGTGACTTCCTGTCTCTGTTGCTTTCCTGCAGTTACTGACGTTTCTGCTTCCTTTACTTAAAATCAAACTGATTATAATGAATAGGAATAAATCTGATGGTGACGTCGGGTCTGAGCAGTGACACCCACCTCGAGCGCCGCCTTCTGCACGGTGACCTGACTGAAGACTCGGGCGCCGTCGTCAGGACAAACAGTCCTCAGCTCCTCCTTGTTGAGCGAGAAGAGCTGAGCGCCAGTGAGCACGCCGAGGCTGGTGATGGTGCTGCGCGCACACACACACACACACACAATTATACCCTCTCCAAATACGTCCCCCTTTCCTTTTACAGTTTGTGGTTTCACACTACAATCATGAGATGGTTAAAAATGATGACGGGTAAAGAAAGTGACATCATTTTATTTATATGACCCGCTTTGAAGCATGAAAGTCACACTGTGGATTATTTTACTTTGAAAAACTGTCATTAAAGCTTCCAGAAGTGAACGTTTCCTGTTCTTGGTCAAAAATCCAAACGTTTTAGTCACATGACTGTCAGGCTCATGCCCGATTGGTCACATTCAGACTTGAGTCTCAGACTTGAGTCCAGTTTGTGTTTTTCTGGTTTCCTTCCTACTCTAAACACAGGTTTAAACTTTAGGATCAACTGAGCGTGTGGGTCAGTGCGGGTTAAAGTAGCAGACTTACACGGGGCTGAAGCCTTTGGCCTCCAACCACGCTTTGACCTCTTCTGGTGTCGAGTCGTACGTGATGCTGACCGACGGCATGCTGCCACTGCGGGCGGGACCCTGAAACTTCTTCTGGGCGCTGCGACCGAGCGTCAGCCTGTGCATCAGCTCGTCCTGGACCTCCTCCATGTTCGACTTCCTTCCTACGGACAGAAACACAAACAGGGTTACCTGTACCACATCACCTGCCTCTGACGGTCTGGATTCTTTAAGTAGAAACATTTATTCAGCAAGTCTGAATATAAAAAGTATTCAAACTGATCACGGTTTGATTTCCTGAACTTTATTTAAAAAGGATGGGATTGTTTGTGTTTTTAGTCTAAAACAGGTGTTGGGGCTGAACAGCTGGATCAGCAGGTGTTTCTGGACTTACGGCTGCCAGCGGCAACAGCAGGTTTCTGGCTGTTTTGCTCCCTCATGGCGACACTGCCCATGTCGCTGGATGCATTGCTGTTCTGTCGGCTGACTGTGCTGCTGCCGGCGGCCAGCTTTGTGGGCTCGGCGGCTGGAGGAGGCAGTGGAGGCGTGGGGACCCTGGCGGGGGCGGGAGCAGGAGGAACCGGTGCGGGGGCTGGGGGCATTGGCGTGGCAACGGGTTTGCTGGGGACAAACTCTGTCCTTGTGGTCTGTTTCTGCAGGATACAGATGAGTTTTTCAATGTACAGTTGAGTATACAGGTGAGCATGTCTGTTCATCTCCAGCTCCATGTTTTACTCATGACTCCTCAAGAGCAGCTTTGCATGATTCACAGTTCAAAATAATCCTCATTTATCTTATTCGGCGCCTTAGCTGCAGCTCCTCCCTAAAAGCCTGCTTTCTTCTTATTGGCTGACTCCTGGAAGCCTGCAGAGGGGCAGCACATATTGTTTTCAGCTGTCTGTATAAAATAAATTGGATTTCTATCTCAGGAACTTTAAATTGAGCTCGCAATGAATCATTTTCCACACGCCATCAGGTCAACTTTGGGGGTGGGGCTTGCAGCGCTGAATATTCCTGATTGGTCAAGCCCTTCAGGTAATTTTAAGCCACCAGTATCTGCAGCAGCTTTTAAAACATTTTAAAGCACAGCCTCTACTTTCTCATCAGTCAGATTTTTCAAGGTCAGGGTTTAGGCTTCCTGCAGTCAGGGTTTTTCGACCCTCTGCTGGAACTTCAGGTGGTGTAAAAAAAGCACCTGGACTAATGACGAGACACCTCTGTGAACGAAGAAAAACTGTTTTGATCCTTGAAATATCTAAAGCGGTGGAGTCTGTTCAGAGCTGGAGGCGAGCAGAGTGCTTCCCTCGAAACAGCAACAATCAGAGTCTCAGTGGCGTTTACCTCATTAAGCTCTCCCAGTAATTGCTGCCAACAAGAAATGAGACAGATGATGGCGATGAGACGATGAATCAACATGTGTAACTCACTGCAAACTGACCCAGGGTCTGTGAGGAGCCACTACTGGTCACTAAGACTGACCTGATCCTAGAAAACCTCTTAAAGGGACAGCCCACTGCTTTATTTTAGCCTTGCTCAGACAACAGCAGCAACAACAGTAAATGTTTATTCAGCGATCTACAGCAGCGCCACGAAGAACCGAAGAAAAACGTCACTGAGTTTCTGTTGGCTTTGGCATTTTACACTGAAAACCTCCACAGGAAGTAAAGTATTAAAGATAATCCATCACAATTGCAATCCGTTAAACCACAGAAATTCCACCTTTAAAGATCAGCATGTTTACCCTTTTAGAATATAAGTAAAAATAAACTGAATAAATGTAAGTGTAATTGTTAAGAATTAAAAATGTATTAGCAACATTTCATATTATACTATAAATAATAACAATAACAATAATAATGATAATACAGTGGTCCCTCGCTATAATGGGGTTCAAATCAGATTTTTTTTGTGCAATTTTGCATTCTTTTTTTTAACAGCGCATTGTGTTCTGCGTCCTGATTGACAATGATTGGCTGTAGACCAATCAATCTCGTGCCGTGTCTTCTGTACAATACAGAATGCGTTCAGCATGTCAAATTTACACATTTTCAAATCTTCGATTGCTAGCAGTGTGATCTGGAGTGCTGTATTGTATGTTTTCTCCCCAACAAACACAACAATGTCAACAAAACATTTTGTACCGTCAGAGGCAACCATGGGTTCCTTTGGTTTCATTCTATAATACTGGACTTATTTTTCTACGAAGGTTTGAACTTTGAGAGTGTTTAAGCAAGAGAGAAAAGTGTGAAAATCTTCGTGCCTGTCTGAGAAAAGTGTATAAAGTGTGTAGTGAGGGATTTTACAGCCTTAAAACATCTATAATAATTGTAAAAAAAGTTGGCTACTTCACGGATTTCACCCATCACGGGTCATTTTTAGAAAGTAATAATAATAATAATAACAATAACAACAACAACAACAAGTAGTAGTAGATATTAGAACAATAAGTAAAATGTCCTTGGAGCTATGACGGAGCTCTGGGTCCTCCTGGTCCAGTCCACAGGACTGACTTTTAAGGACTGAGAGGAAAAACAGCTTTAATCTCTCTCTCAGCTGAGAGTCATTTCATAATTTAAAGGTAACCAGATTCGCTCAAACGTGACACTGTCCCTTTAAGATCACAGCAAATCAAACGCAGGAAGTGGAAACTACAGCGAGCTAGAAACACACACCCAGCTCGTCCTACCTTGAACAACTCAAACTCCCTCCTTGGCATCATAAGCTGATGATTGATCATAAAGACAGAACATGAATTGAGATGACTGAGATGGGACAGGAAGTGAGCCGCTGCAGTGAGCGTCAGAGCGTGAGTTACCTGGACGGTGTGGCTGTAGATGGGCTCTCCTCGGCTGGTCATGTCCACCGCTTTGGTGATCTCCAGGATGTTGTTTGGCACGTAGCCCGTCGCACCGCAGCCGTTACGAACCTTCCACCACTGCTTTCTGTCGTCCAGCACCTGCCAGACAAGAGTCAGGGATTACTTCACTCAGTCTCCCCCTCCTCCTCCTCACTTCCTGCTGCGTATTTTCTGTTCCCATAGAGATGGGCATGTTTAATATGACATGAAGTCAGTGTCTACACATTAAAGCTCTGAACACTCAGTTTATCTTAGTTTTTTATACTCTTGGATCGCTTTGATGTCATCTTAGACACAGAAGCCCCACCTACCAGCTGTTAAAACCTTCTCCAGCCAATCAGAAAAGACCTGTTTTTAGGGGAAGGCACTTTCAGAGAGGAGGGGCCACAATAAGGTCTAGTATCAGCTACATGAGGATTATTCTGAACTGTGAATCATGCAAAGCTACTCAGAGTCCAGGAATAAACCACGAGCAGAAGAAAACTAACACGATTACCTCGACCACCTCGTCTTTAAGCACCGACAGCTCTGTGTTGTTCCTCCCCACAAAGTCGTACTTCGATTTGGCAAACATTTTGGGCTGCCCTCTGCCATCAGCGTCGAAGCCTCTGAAACACACCAACAAAGAAGATTTCAGTCCGAAAAAGAAACCGGACCCGAAGCAGCACAGCAGCTCCACGTGTCCAAACACCGAACTTTAAAGGTAGATCAGTTTCCGAGGAGGAACATCAGGTCAAACAAAAACCTCTTCTCACTTTAAGAGTCTGATCGGTTTGGATCTGACGCTGTGACGCTGCTGAACATCGTAAAAATGCGATGACATAAACTAAACGGCTGCAGCCGTGGAGAAATGTCCCACCGACAGATCAGAGGAGCGTCAGCCAGAAGAAGACAAAGATCATAGCGAGCAAAGAAGAAAACCAGCAACACAAAAACCAATCAGCAGCAGGAGGACAAACAGGAAGTGACAGAAGATTTATCAATATTTTAGCTGATTAAAGTTTACTGATCAATGATTATATTTCCTCACCTGTTTTATATTCAAATATAAATGAAATGTTCTGATGTTGATAATTAAACTGAGTCACATTCAGTAACACTTCATTAATGCATGTATTAATTTCAAAACAGTTACTTAACGTTAACGCCATAACTGCATTAATGCGGCAAATCTACATTAGCTCATTAACGCGGATCGCCCCGTGCGAGGCCTGCATAGAATCAATGCATTAGTGCGGTTAGCTCGTTAACGCGGGTGGTTCATTAACACGTTAGCACGGGTCACTCGTTAACGCATTAGCAGAAAAAAAGGAAAATTAGATTTAAATTTTTCTTAATTCTGGTTTGTTATATTTTCTTTGTTTACACACATAGTTGTTTAACCTTTTATTACTTTTGAAATATCTTCATTTGAATTTTTATAATGAATTTCTATTTCCTGTTTTCTTTATTCGCTCATGTTTGAACTTCCTCTTTTCTTTAGTTAATTTTTTATAAATTTTGTTTTTATTTCATCTAATCATTGTTGATTGTTGTGTGATTTTTCTTTATTCTGCTGTATTGATTTTGCCCCTCCCAGACCTCCATAGAGCAGAGCAAGCACAGCAGTGGGATCAGTTCTCCAGGGCGTCATGTGACCTGCAGTTACCGGTCTACACGGCGGCTGGCGGCGTGTTTGAAAGCAGCCACGGCCGTGTCCTGATCCAGGATCTGCATGCGTTTGTAGGAGGTGTTGGTGAAGGCATACCCGTCAACAGGGGGGAACCTCTGCAGCGCCACCTGCAGCAAAAACAGAAATCACACCACGAGTGAGTACCGCGTCAGCGAGAGACAAGCTTAACTCAGAGCCACTTTCACGTCCCGCCCCTTACCTCCTGAGCCACCCACGGCCTTGGGTCCTCCGGTCTCTGCAGGTTGGCGTTGGCGAGGCTTTCGGCAAGCTGAGCGAGCTCCTGCTCACGACTCGGGGTTGTCGCCGGCAACGCAGGTGGTTCCCAACCATCACGAAACCTCAGAACACACGGCGGGAAGTAGTGGTCCTTCGGCCACTCCAGCCTTTAGGAGACAAAGATGTTGATCAATCAACCAATTAAATCAGTCGACTGATCCATCGGTTACTTCCTGTCTGACCTGCTCTTTGTCCATCCGTCTCCCAGGGCAACCCACAAGTGTCTCTCCTCCGCCGTCCCTGAGGCATGAAGGAAGTCGATGGCGTCTCTGGTCAGCAGAGGAACAACAACGCTACGAGCCAGATCAACGCTGCCCGAAGCCTGGATCACCTGAGCAGAAGGAGGAGGGTGTGACAATAAAAACATTTTACTTACATTTACAACACTGTTTGGGGTTGTCTTAGGTGTAGCTGCTTTGGTGTTCCACCTGAAGGTCTGAGGGTGGAACTGAGACTGGAACCTGAGATTCAAGGTTGAAGCAGCAGTTGTGATATGTGACGGTGTTTGTGGACCAGCCATCACACTGATCTTAGGTCTCGAGTCCCTCATGCTCCTCCTCCACGTCAGGGGTTTGATGGGAGGAGAGATTCTGCCTCTCAGCTAAAGGATGGATGGATGGATAATAGGTGGAGCCTCTATCTTTCTTTAGTTCTTAAGGGTTTATTCCAGCTCCATGCCTGAAGTCAGAGCACATACAGGAAGTAGCTGTGTGAGGCGCTAACGGTGACTTACCATCTTTAGTGGCGTGAACAGGAAGTGGACCAGCTCCACAGCGCTCGGGTTCTGGATGTGGTCCTTCAGCTTCCCCTGCAGACGGAGCACAGAGAGCTCATGAGGCAAGAAGCAGGTTCATCACCAACAAAACTATTCAGTCAGTCTGACAATAAATAATCAATACATTTAACCTGCGCAAGAGAAAACACGGACAAAATATTCATTTATGATCAGTGAGTTTTATATCAGCAAATAAACTGTGAGAGGAGGGAGGAAGAAGGAGGGAAGGGGAGGAGGAGGTAGGAGGTACCAGCTGGTTGAAGGCATGCTTGAACTTCTGCAGACAGTCGACAAACTCGTCTTCGCTCGGAGGTTTGGAGCGCAGTGTCAGGACGCCCTCTGGTGGACACAGAACATGACAGAGGTCAGTTTGTTTAACTGAGGTCAGTCACAGGTCACATGACTCAGAGGAGGGAGGAAGGATAGGTGTTCCTGTCACTCACACTAATTTATTAAAACAGTTTGGAAATAAATCAATAAATGTATTGTTGAGGGATGCAGTAATTCAGAAATCTGAAGCGCCCTGATGGGAAACCGCTGCCAGTGAGCTGATCTCTGATCAGCACATCCCTCACTCTGGTTTCAGCAGGATCTGTCTGTGTGGACAGTACTGTATTGTAGTATCGGCACTTTTACTGCATATTTTGATTGGTGAGGCTCTGCTGCCTTCTCACCTCCGGGGCTTTTCTTCTTGCCCTTCTTGTTCTTCTTCCTCTTGGAGAGCTCACCGAAGGCCTCGGCAGCCTTCTGAAGTTTGGTGACGAAAAACTCAATGTCGTCCAGGATGTGGTTCAGGATTTGCTGCGAAAAGGAGAAGCTGTGCTCAGGATCTTTTAATGTTTGATTCACCTTCACGGTGGCTTGCAGGTTTCCTGTATGCGTTATTTAATGATTAAACCTGAACAACAGCGCAGCGTTCAGCGCTCTTAGCTCCCTTATGTAAGCAGATTTGCTCTCCAAAGCTTCCAAACTCTGATTATGCTTGAATGAAGCAGCCTTCTTCAATCGGCTTAAATCTTCTATTGTGCCACAACCCCGGGCCGACCTCAGATTCAAGTTTAGCTCCTCCAGCTGCCCTCAGATCAGCCTTGAAACTCCACCCACACATGGGACACTCACCACATCGCGATCTACGCGAGCTGCCGTCATCTCCACCGGCCCATTGTCCTGCGACAGCCGTCTATCGTCTGCTGCAGAAGGGAGAAAGCACATGTGTGAGGAAAACGTAACACCCGATTCATGAGAAAACATTAACGTGTGACTGAAAACCAACACAGACATTTTTATTACTACGTCCTATCTCCCATATCAGTCCCACACAGAGTCACATCACAGTAAATTGTCAAAGAAATAAGAAGCAGAATGATTCATCTGAATAAACTTTACCTGCAGCCTTTGTATTAAAAAAAATAAATAAATATAAATAAATAAATAAAATCTCAGTATTTGTTGCTTTTACTATCAAAAAGAAAACAAAAGAACAAAACAAAAACCCATGTGAGCTTGAAGCAGCTGCGAAACAAGCCGCTTAAACTCCTCACACTTTAACCCAAATTTCTTCTGACTGGCTGCCCCTCACAATCAGAAGGTTTGAACCGCAGGTGACTGGGCTTCTAGCAAGTGACATAACTCACCCTCATACTGCTCATTGGTCCATGCCGACCAGGCTGCTGCACGACTCTTTACGTCCACCAGATCAGGTGACGGTGGCGGCTGGGGGGCAGGAGCGGAAGGGGGAGGAGGGATAATGCCATCACTCTTCAGGATCATCCTGCAGACAGACAGATCAGCCAATCAGCTTCTAGGATGAGAAACTGGGCTTAGTAACCCTCAGAGTGTCTCAGCTCTTACTTCAGGGTCTCCGGCCGTTTTTTCACTTTGCTTCCTTTGGCATCCATCATGGCACTTTCTATGTCAGCTTGGATCAGATTCGCCTATCAGAGAAAGAACATAGATCATTAAGTTGTTCATCAGGATGAAACACATTTATAACGTGACATCTGACTCTGTCCGAACAGGCCGGTATTGTTGGAGTCCCACAGGGCTCTGCCCTCAGTCCTTTGCCGTTTACATCAAAGCTGAATTTTAATCAAAGTTTTCATTTACTAGCAGCAAACAGGTTTCACAGCAAACTCCTTCATCACACAGTAAAGTCAACTTCAAAGTGTTTTAGGACTTTTGGCCCTCAGGGCTAGCTTAGTGTCTTGCCCAATCAGAGGCTGTTTACTTTGATTTCGTCGCACTGGAACAGGTGGAGGTCGGGTTTGACCTGACCCGGCTCTTTGCAGATCAGAGCCAGGATGGAGTCGTAGCTGCAGGCGTTCATCACGGCCTGGCAGTGCTGGATCGAGCCAATCTGGAAGTTCTCCAGCTCGTTCTGAAGGAGAAAAACCCACAAGTCAAAGTCGGAGTGGGTCACACTGAGCTTAAAGCTGAGGACACACTGAGAATCAGTGTTCTTTTTTTGCTTTTTGTAATTAAAACGAACAAACAACCCCCCCCAAAAAAACAAAAAAACAAAGCCAAAAATAAATCCTTGTTTTTAGCCTCACCTTTGTTCCCAAGTCGATGAGGCTCACCATCTTCTCCTCCACCTGCAGCAGCATCTCCTGTGTCCACACCTTCCCTTTAGCATCGAGCAGACGGAGGCGTCTGATGCCGTCATCCACCGTGATCATCCCGTCTTTGCGGTCCAGCACAAACGTGGTCAGGTGCTGAACAGACAGATTTAGAGTAACGGCAGGAAACTGAACGTCAGCAGGACATCAGGAGATTCAAGCGATCACAGTCACAAACATAACAGCTTATGTTTTTTATAATTTGAGTGGTGATTTTTGGTCACTTTGTATGTGAAAACCTTAAATTTGAACACGTTTGGTTTGATAAAATGCAAGGCAAGAGGAGCAGGCGTGAGCACCAACCTCCACGTGATACTGCGATGTGTCTGTCAGGCTGTTGATGCTGGTTTTGGTGTAATGTTTCCTTTGTTCTGTTAAAAAGAACAGAAAAAAAACTCTTATTCTGGACTATGAATATCATGTTTATGTCTCCCTAAAGTCCCCCTGGGAAGCTGACTGTGTTCATAGTTCATGACTGAAGCTGGAATATGCTTTGATTTTATGGACTCAGAGAAGGCTTGAGGAAACTGGAGCAGCATAAAACCATCTTCTCATTACAATGACCTACAAGTGACACTAAAGCACCACACATGACGATGCGCTGAATTAAGCAGAGAAGAAGAGTGAACCTGGACATGTGATGGATTAAAGGTGGTGTTTGCAGGAGGACGTCAGTAATTCAGATGCTTCAGAGCCCCTCCGGAAGGAGGTGACAGATGTTATCAGCTGTGATGAGTACAAAGAGGCCGCTGAGAGCCGCAGATAAGAGCCAAATCTGCATCGTTACCATTATCTCCACCCGGCAGGAGGACCGGCAAACATCAGCACACAGCTGCTCACAAATCAGCGGCAAAGCGGCAGAACAACAGCCAACAGCAACGTCCTTGCTAGAGTCCATGTGTCGTTTCAGTTTTTAAACAAACTCATCCACATGTGCACCAACAGGTAACAGGTTCACAGATTACCCATAATGCTCCTCTCCACCAAGCGCCAGGACGTTTGGCTTTTATTTGTGTGAAAACAAAAACAGCATTGAATCCTTCAGCTCTCATCACAGAGGAACGACCTGAGCTCAGGTTGGAGCTTCTTCTTCACTTGAATAAATTTCCTGTCCACACACGGAGGAGGGATCACATGAAAGTTTTGCCTTAAAGTCCAGCTGTGTGTGTGCGTTTTGGACTTCCTGCAGGTTAGGGGGCGGGGCATACTGGCTTTGTTGAGACTGTGAGGGACGCCATTCCTTCATTGGTCCCAGGAAATGTTAAAGTGACCTATGTGATCAAAACAGTTGTTTAATCTTGGTTACATGATCAAACACAGTGCTGACGTCTCTTTGGTGACCTGAAGCCTCCTCGGACATGGCCAGCAACTCCAAACAGCCCCTGGGCGACTGACAGGGATCAGAGTGAATTAGCAAAATAAACCTGGCAATGAAATCCTGAGCAGAGCTGAACGTTCAAAAGTTTGGAGAACAGCAGCCGACTTGTATCCCACGAATGACCCGAGCAGCCAGAGTAACCAGATCCTACCATCACTGAAAACATGTCTCAGAGGAAACACTGAGCCTCTGACGGGGTTAACCCTCAGCCGTGCAAATCCTGTTTGGAGTCTCTGGATGCTGCAGATCTTCCTCCTGCCTCAGACACGGTAGAAAGTTTCAGCAGGAATCGTTCCTGCAGTGAGAACATTCACACACACAGCAGCTCCATAATCCTGCAGCTCCTGATCACATCACATTTACCTCACACTCAGCCTTAACTCAGCGCCTCCAACTGAAGTTTATATCAACAGTAGGCCCACTGGACAGCTGTGGTAAATGTCAACGTGAACATAAACTTTGATTTCCTGCTGATGAACTGAGGAGGCCTCAGTCAATGGCTGAAGAGTCTAAAGCTAGAGGTCTGAACTTCAGACACATGTTCACTGAGGTAAAGTTCACTGTGACGGAGATCATAGGAGATAGAGACCAGGAGCTACTGCACACGTGTTCACAGTAAGACCTGAGGGCTAGCTCACACGAATCAAATATCTGTCCCATTACAGATGTTTGACAACACGAGTCGTACCCCTGGGTCTGGACTTCAAACCTCTGTCTGAAGATAATTGATGCTTCACAAGAAACATCGACTCTGCAAACACGTAACGCCCAAACGAGGCAAAACACGACACACACACACACACACACACACACACACACACAAAAATACTTATTTTCATATCTTAGTGGGAATATCTAATTGACATAATGCTTTCCCTAGCCACTTACCCTAACTATCAAAAATGAATGCCTAATCCTAACCATAACCTAACTGTAACCTTGACACTAAAACCACATTTTGAGTCTCAAAATGCCTTCAATCTCATGGGGACAGCCTTTTGTTCCCATAACGGACTGTTGGTCCCCACAAAAATAGTAAAATTCCAAGTTTTGGTCCTCACAAAGATATGTAAACGTGGTACACACGCAAACAAAAACACACACACGTCTCACTGTGACTTTTCTTTTTGTGTTTGGCAGACGAACGAAGAAAATAGATTTCATCAGATCCTGTGAACAAAGATAAAGCAGATAATGAGGTCATGGATCATGTCTAATTTCTCTGAAACCCAATAAATCAAACAAACATTCACAGAGGATTTTTACCTGCTCAGGTTCAGTTCACCTGACTCACCTGGAGTCTCAAACTCAACTCCAAGTCTCAGTTTGTTTCAAGAATAAAAGCACCTAAATTTGAAGTAATGAAGACTACAGCATGTGGTGTTCAGAGAAATCTGTGCATGTTGTTTAGTCCTCACTGACGTCATGACCTTAAACCATTTCTAACATCAGCTCCTCTCACAGGTAATATTCACACCTGCAGACACCTTACAGTCAGCTACCCATTGTACCACCCCGATCACGGATGTCATCTCTGAACCAAGCTTTATTATAAATGAGGTCCAGAATGATCCAGGACGGCCTCACTATTTCCCAGGAGGAGGAGGGAGAAGGGAGGAAGGAGGGTCCTCACCGTAAAGAGCTTTGGCACTGGTCTTGGCTTTGTGCGTTGCAGGCTCTGGAGATGGAGCATCATGGCCGCTGGGACAGAAAGCAGAACAGAGTTAGGAAGTCAAAGGTCAGAACTGAGATCAGCTGATGATGCAACCAACAGCAGCTTCTGATTGGACGCCAGGTGATTTTACCCGACAGGGATACTGCGTGAGTGTTTGGTTTTATTTCACTTCATCTCTGGAGGTGTCCGAGTTTGGCTTCTGTTACAGTTTTATTTATGATGTCACTTCCGGCGTCCCCTCCTGTGCTGATCTCAAACCGGCATCCCGCCTGTGTCACTCGATACTTTTGCACGTTCACACTTTAATTCGCCGCATGAAGACGTTTATAATGAATGAGCGCGATTACAGACTACATCAGAGCCACGCCGGCACGAAACCTGACACCTTACAGGAAGCGCAGCACAGCAGCTGGTCATGTGACACACCGCTGATGATTGCCACACAAATGAATCTGTGCCAGGAACTCACAGGAAGTTATTCTTATGAAGTTATACGCGAGATCCTCTTTAAATGATTATTGATTTTATAAATAAATAAAATCAATAATCATTGACTTCAGATCAATATCCAGTCTCCATATATGACTCCAAGCCAGAGAAATTAGCTGGTCTACCCCAGATTATCCTCTTATGTGGACAGGGACACGCTGATGTTTTTAGGGCTGGGGACAGTGAATAAACACACGAACCAGGAAAAACAGAACGGTCCTGCTTCAGAACCAGAAACCATGAGATCCGGTCTCTGCTCCTCCAGAGGTCAGACAGCTGCTTCTTGTCCACATCTCAGTTTATTTCTTAATAACACCGTCACAGAAGCAGATGCCTCGGTATAGACGTAACGGAGACCAGTAAAGCTCCTGAAGCGTGTCCGGTTTGAGTTTTCATTAATTTTTAATCTGAGGTTTTCTCAGAGAGAAGCTGAGCTGCAGTAATATTTAACTTCTACTGCTGCGAGACGAGAAGCGTCAGCATGGAGAAGAAACTCAGAGACGCTTTCAGTTGGCCACAAAATCCTCCAAAAACTGTCATTTTACAAACAAACAACAAAAGTTCTGACTTAATCATTAAAACTGTTTAATGGGCGCTACTCAGTAATAACTGGAATTATTAACAAAACTGAACATTGTCATGCACACTTCAAATACATTTAAAATTGAAACTGTAAATATTTTTTAAGCTTTACCAAAGACTATACAAAAGTATGTTTTAAATAATAATTACTATTTTATAATAATTTATAATACAAGACTTACTAATGAAAGATTTCAGTCTTTACAAATAATCTGCAGTTACAATTAAATTTACTCAGAGTTCATTTACATCACAAATTTAAGGTTGTATTTTATGTTTTTGTTTTTTTTTAAAGTTGCAGTTTTGTAATGTTTTTTTTTTTTCAAATCTGTTGAATATTTAAAACTAATACTTACCAAATTGTTTAAACTATTTAAAAAATAGCCACAAAATACACACATAACAAAAATTGAAACTGTTCAAAATAAAATGTTTTATACATTAACCTCAGTTATTTACTTAAAGAATTGATGGACGAAATTTACCAGAGTCCAGTAAAAGCTCAGTATTAAAATAAAACTTTCAAACCTGAAGAGATTCTCCTATTTCAGAAACAATCAGTGTCACACTGATCATAAACAACAGAAACAGCACAGGTTATGCCTCATATCAGAGTAAGCATTATTAACAGTGTTTCACATTCAAAAAGTGGCCATGTGAGCTAACGTGGCTAACATGGCTAATAGCAGAAAAGGCTGCTGGGAAACTCACTTGATGGGCGAGCTGTAGGAGCCGAAGACGCCCGAGGCGAGAGCTGGAGGTTCGTATCCGTTCATGCTGCTTCACGGTGGACCATCAGCTGGAAGAGACGCAGACGCACCATGAGTCACATGACCACACTGCAGGGTCAAAGGCTAGCTCCGGGTAAATGTAATACATTTATCTGCTGTGACCAAACATCTGCACAAAGCTCATACCTCCTGACACTACTGGAATGCACTGGTGCCGTTAAACCACAATTTTATTGATATATGCTGAGGCGTCAAAACTCATCACTTCACTAAAACTAAATTAGTGGAAACGGCACAAAAAAGGCCAAACAGCAGCTCTTCAGAGGCCTGTGGGTCCCCTAAAACTATAACTCCTAAAAGCTGAAAATGAAGCTGCCACGCTGCCGTTCCTCTGACATCCAGCAGAGGCAGCAGTGGTTCAACCTGTAAGGTATGGACGCTACGATGACAGAGCAACCACCTGACCGCCAACATGGCTGCTGCGAGTACTGCCAGAGCATCCAGGATGGCTACTGAAACGCGAGGGTTTAATCTGGATGTTTCTGAGTGCTGAGTGGTGAGTCGCCCTCAGAGAGTTCATCTCATTAATGGCTCGTTGGGTGTTCCCCGCGGAGCGGCAGGGAAATTAAAACTGCGTGGCACACAAAGGGGGCCCGAGCAGATTTATGGCAGTTAATGACACAGTATGTACAGTGCAGCCACGCGTGATTACTTTTCCCACAGCGCCATTCAGCTGGGACTCATAGCCATGGTAACCAGGCTTCAGCCATACTGTTTGTGCTGCAGAGGAGGAAAACCTGTGAGACCGCAATCAGGGAGAGATGAGTCCACAGCAGGAAGTGATGTAACGACAGCAGAGTGAAAATACCAAAACACCATCTCAAAACACACTGGTTAGCGCCTCCAATCATGAGCCCTCGCGGGTGACAGCAGCAGAAACATTAGGACACAAAGGTGAGGAAGAGTCAAGGTATAGGCATTACAACCCAAACCAACTGAGACCAGGGCCAAGGCCGGATCTGTGACCTCATCGAGACCCTGCCTCCAGCGTGACAGGAAGCCATCACGACCCCAAAATCCACAGCTTAAAGGAGCCAAATATACAAGGCGCCGTCAATGTTTTCAAAAGGTACAAAGACAGCAGATACAGAAAGCAATGAAGAAGAACCAACCACATAATCCGCTGTGTGCTTCTCCACTAAACCAACACAATCCAAACGCAGGAAAACCGCCACTGATTAATGACGTTCAGGAAATAAAATTTTTGAAAATCCAGTTCAGCTCTAAATGTTCATCTCTGAAGGCCGTGATGTCTCTGGTGGGCGGTGACACTACTACAGGATCGTTTGAGTGTTTCGAAATTTGAATGATCATTTAAGTTTTACTCCACCATCAGCATCTGGCTTGATTCTACACCGATTCCAAATTTGTCAGCCTGACTTCAACTTGCTCACCTGAGCACGTCCACCCACCTGTGCAGCCCCAGTGGCTTTAAATCCTCATCATTACTCCCACAAAGCCCCGCCCACTCTCTGATGGATATGAAGTTAATTTTCCACCAACCTCCTCCTGACACCCCAGGAAGCTGAAGGGGTCAAAGATCACACTGGTTAGGCTCAGTTTTGTCATCTCTATTTGCTCTGGGAGGAGATGCGGTCACCACGGCGAGAGCCACTTCTTTTCTCACTTATCTGAGGCGGGGCATCAATGGCGCTGTGAGGTCAGCAAGCTTTACGATAACGAGGCGTTTACAGCATGATTGTTTAAATAAAGTTTCCCAGTATCCTTCACTCAGCAGGAGGAAGGTGGGGATTAGGTGTGTGTGTGTCCATGTAGAGTTAAAGCTCCTTACCGATCCTGTGACACACACTTTAATCCTTTAAATGCCATGTGGATTTCAAAGTAAAAGCACACAGATTTAAACTGGTTTGTAGTGCTGGGCGATATGACAATATATATCGTGTTAACGACAGAAAAATGGCTATCGTGCCATTTGTCTTCTATCGTTTCTAACCTAATTTTATAAATTATTACATAAAATATATAATTAAATAGCCTGTGGCAAATATATTAGTGTTGTCTTCTCACTATACATACTCCATTTTCTCTTGCATAAAGTATAAAAAAAAAAATGTTTTTCACAAAGAAACTCCATCTTGTGGTTTTGCGACATGGTGCTGCTTTACGTGCACCAAGATTTGCAACATGCTTTACGGTAACTCAAAACAATGGACGCGCGACAGGTTGCAGTTTCATGCCCGGACATTCAACAGGACGCCTACACAGGCAGCTCAAGAAGAAGCACTTTTACCAAAAAGAGGGGGTACATCTGGGATTTGGTTATAATTTTTAAAAAACAAAACAAAACAATAAAATAAAAGTGAAGGCCACAGCTGTTTTCATTTGTTACATTTATATTGCTGCACGTTTGTCATTTGTGACAGTTCCATTAAATGTCTCTTCAAAATAAAGTTGGAGAAAAGAAACTTTTCAGAGAATAACTGGAAACGTGGTAATAATGAGATATATCGTGATATATATCGTTATCGTGATATAAAATAATTCATATCGTGATAAATATTTTTTCCATATCGCCCAGCACTACTGGTTTGTGTCAGGAAAAGAAAAAGAAGTTCACTTTGATTCTCGCTGTGAGTCCCACCTAAAAGCCCCTTCAGTTACCCACAATCCATTGCTCAGTCTTATCAGGCTACAAAAAATAAAATGCCATGTTTATTATGAGTGTACATTATGAATATAGGACACTGTGATGTCACAAAAATATGGATGTGAGGACAGGTCGGCTTTCAAAGGAACTCCAGCTGTGAATAATAAATGTGTTGAGGTGAGCGGCGGGAGGAGAGGAGAGTGACACGTTAAAGAAAAGAGATGAAGCGGGGAGTCACCAGGCTGATAAGAACGTTCTTGTCGGTCACTCATTAACTGTATGTTTGATCTGGGAGGCGTTTCCACGCCGACACTCAGACACTGGAAAAACACTCTGCTCGGGCTGCCACGTGCTCTGGGCCTCTAGACCTGGAAAGGTCTGACATGAAGCAAGAACCATGAGACTCCACCCACATAAAAGAGATGACACTGATGTCAGGGTTCAGAAGGTCACCGCAGCACCGTCAGCTTCCCTCCATCTTTACTCCGACAACAAACATCCACCTCACAGCGTTCCCCTGAAACAAATTCAGGATCAACTTCTAATACAAGTGAAGGTGGAGAAGAACACACACCCTCAATCCAGTGCTCCGCTCACACTGCATCCATGTTTCAGAGAGAAGACATTTTCTACAACTCCTCCTCCTCCTCTTAGTTTGAATCTCAGAGTTTTTCCCGTTTCCTCGCTGATGTTTCTCAGTGCAGATGGTGAACGAGCTCTGCTCATCTCTCAGATATTAAACTGCTTGGGAAACAGCTGTTACCATGGAAACTGCTTCTGGTGTCTGCCGCTGCCTCACAAACCATCAGCTGACACAGGAGAGCCATCACCACGTCTCATCCGCTCAATCACAACTTCATCACCGTGCCCCTCCAATTTTCAGTTTTCCAGTCCCTGATCTCGGATGGTGGTCATGAGTCATGTGACTGGCTTCACAGTGAGGAGCCATTGATTAACGTTCTCCGATTGGTCTGTAACCCAAATACTGAGCGTGTTCTGCAGCTTCAGCAGGAGGAACAGTTTGATGCCTCAAAGTTCACTTTCAAATCTTTTATGACACGTTTATTTTCATGTTCTCTAGTTTTATATTTTTATCACGCTCGTTTTCTGTAAATTATTTTGACTTCTTTAACTCTTTTCTTTATTATTTTATTTACATTTGTGAGAATCTTTCTTAGGTGGTGTATTATTTTTTTAAAATCAGTTTTCATGACTTTCTTGTAACTTCAATTATTTGCAGTGTTTTGTCTCATTTCCAATTTTATTTAATCATGTCTCTTTAGATTTCCCTGGTTTCTTTTTCTAGCAAGTACCTTTAAAAACATAATTTCATTCATTTATTTCTTTATTCTTTTATTTTACAGTGTTATTTTTAATCAGTTTTTAAAGATTGTTGCAGATTTGAATGTGAACTGTATGTTGAAGAAACACTTTATTAAATAAAAATGTAAAACAAAAATTGCCTCAGTGATCGGGTCACTGACACCAATTCGCTCACAGCTTCATCACCTCCGGAAAAGATCCATACTCATCAGCAGTGACCGTGTGGCACTGACATTGGACGCTGCAGCATGTGTTCGCCAGCTGACCCGCTTTCAGACCCACAGCCGGAGGCACCTTTCCACCTGCAGTTTGCTCAAGAGCAGGTCCGCGAGGGCCGGCACAGTAAAGGAGGCTAAAAATAATCCTGAGTAATCCTGAAAGTGCTGAAGTCTTCATTCCTGCTCAGAGGGTCACGGTGCCCATTACAGGCGGCCTCGTTACACCGGCTCACAGCAAGGGAGTACCGAGGAGCACACTGCACAGAGCGAGTGGAGAGTGGCTCGTCTCTGTGAGAGTGAGTTTCAGTGAACAAGTGCATCTACAAACACACCGAGCATCATTGACTGACACAGATTGTGGCAGGCACGGCAGCAGTCACAACCATGACCTGCTGACATCATGGAGGTCACACTGAAGGGCGCTTCAAACAGGTTCAGCAGAAACTTCCTCCAGTCAGAGCCACAGAACTGAACTGATCTCAAAGAAGTTCTGAGCTCTGATTACACCTGCTGCTAAGCACAAATATGCCCCGTGGGCCTCCTGATTGGTTAATCCACCTCGTCAGCAGGTATTTGAGACAAAAGCGGAAAAGAATAAAGAGGCGTCCACGCCGGCTGGGTCACTGAAGCCTGTCTGACTTTGGCTCTGTGACGTTAACAATGAGGTGGAAGAGAGCTGAGCACGCAAACCCAGACTGATGTTATTACTGAACCAGACACACACACACACACACACACACACACACACACATATATATACACACACACCCCTACCTCTGACCTCCACAAACCAACAAAGCTGCTCTGTTTTGTACCAACATGATGATTTAAACCCTGAGGACAGACAGGAAACCTTTGGCACCGTGAGCTGAACCGGCTCAAACTGCCAAACTGCAGCCTCAGAGTGACGACTGCAGCGGATCCAAAATCGCAGCATAAAAGCAACTTCCTGTTGTCTCCTCAGGAGCTCGGATACAATATTTTGTGCCACGTGGATCATTCACAGACATTCAGTCCCCGTTTATTGGTCCTAAATTCTGTTCAGGTTAGGATAAACCCCGCCCACTCACATCAGCAGTTCTCTTCGCTTCCATTGGAGGGAGTGTCAGTCACTTGTCTGACTGAGGTTTGGGTTTAACAAAGATCTCCTCGGGACTCAAAACATCTGGCTGCAGATGCTGTGATTCATATATAAACTCAGATCATTGTGACCTGAGACCACCAGTTTGTGAGAGACAGCCAATCACAGGAAGCAGCTTTGAAAGGGAGGAGCTAGAACTTGAAGAGCAGATTATTCTGGATCCAGAAATTGAACCGCGGAATCCTTGCAGCAGACAAACCCACAGACGGCGTCTTCTCAGACCACAAAGCCTCGGTAACAAACCAAGCGAGCACCTACCTGTCCAAGTCGTCCACAGGTGAGCGGAGTGTGAGGTCGACGCCGCAGACGGCTCGAATAAAGCTGCTCTGACTCCAAGCATCATGTGGCGGATTAGCGAGGATCCCGGTGCTGGCTTGGTGCAGCACCGGGATTCGCTGCAGCAGCGAGTTGGCGTCCAGGATCCTCTGCTTTAAGCCTGACTAATCACTAATGACGGACAGGTGGGGGATAGGGAAGGGGCGGGGCTTCCAACTGACAGGTGGCAGTGGAAACACCGAGTGGGCTTAAAACTCCTCACAACTGATTGATTATCCATCAGTCAGTTGATGAAGCCATTTGGAGGAGGAGACTTAAACAACTCTCAGTTTACTCTGTGCAGAAGAGTCATGCAACACCCAATACTGTTATCAAAACTGGTCGCTAAGGAAATGTGCGGTTTATTTTTGTTTCCTTTTAGAATAAATGACTCATTGTGAGGCAAACACATCTTATCAGCAGGCCACGCCCACCGCACCCATGGAGATTAATAAAGTTTAATCTAACCTGCAGCGATAATGGGTCCTGATTCATCTGTGGTGCTGACCCGCTTTAAAAATAAAATGTTGTTTGTTTCACAGAGCTGCTGCCTGATGACATCACACTTCAGTGTCACGATTACTTACTGATCTTTAGCAGCTGATCAACAGAGCCTCTGATTCAGACTCAAAGCTTCTCCTGAAGCTCAGAGTGCAGACTGATCTTCAGTTATTGATCAGTTATTGCTCACAGGTCATCTGGACTGGATCAGAAGTTTGATCAGCAGAGAAGAAGAACCTGTGATTTGTTGATCTGGCATTTCATGGATTCATAAACCAAATGTGTCCCCACGACTCCTCTTCGATGATTCAGTAGTGTCATAGAAACCAAACACCAGTCTCCAGGCAGGACTTTAATACCTGATGATATCACCGACTCTGATCAGGTACCTAACACACGTGAGCGTGTTGTTGTGTTTTCTTCTTCTGTTGTTGGATCCTCGGGCAGAGCACAGCAAATGTCCTCGGATTCTTCTCACCGAGCTTTGTGCATCGCAGCGCCCCCAACAGGTCAAAGTCTCAACTTTCAGATTCAACTTCCTGTTTCTGAGTACAGACTCATCTCTGATTGGTCCATGCTGATTGGTCCATGCTGCCCTCCGTGTGGAGGATGGGGTAGGCGGGCTGTGGTGTGCTTCAGTAAATGAAGAGTCAGTCCCTCAGGAGTAGTGATGAATCGGTCGCGAACAAAATGGCTCTTAGAGCCGGATCTTTGACGTGAACGACGCAAGCTGGCTCCTTATCACGAGCGTGGGGTTTTTTCCCCCCTTTCTCTCACCCTCTCTCTCGCACTTTTTTTCCGCTTCACTCCGCATGCGAGCCTTGTGCTTTACGCTGGGAAGAGGAGGGAGGGGCGGTAGTTACACTCAGTAGCACAGGAACAGAGAGGGAGGGAGAGACAGAGAAAGAGAGCCAGGGACAACAACGTCACATTAGAAAGGTATAGTAATCATCCACAACTATTTTCAGTTGCAGATGATAAAGGATTCAGAAAGTTTATTCATGCAGGTCCATATGACAGAGAATATGCATGTTCTTTTTGTTTTCATATTATAATTTGTATTTAATTGTGTTGTGGTTTGCAGTGTTTTGTGTTGTTTCACTTTAAATTTGTAAAAGGAAAA